GTGTGGTGACCTCACTGTGACAGAACCCAGCGGCTATGTCTTCGCGTAGCGTCGACTCTAGAAGGTCACGCGTAACCTGGTCCTTTGTGTGATGGTGTTGTCGCGTGTTTTTTTTTTTCGTCCGGACCCGAACACGGCAAGAGTTTTGACTCCTGTTCTGTGCCATCCTAACACTTTGGTGCTAGAATGGTAAATTACAACGCAAATTCATCTTACTCTCTGCCCACTGGAAGCACAGAGAGTTTGGCCAAAATATCCACGCGGAATTTCGACCTCTGCTTACAAATCTTGAAGAAACTGATCCATACTGAGCGAAGAAAGTAATTTCTTAGAAAATTTAAAAAACTGAAAAGCCTTTAATGTATGGACTGAGGGTTCTCCTGCGCTTGATCAGATAAGATGTTTATGCAGCTATCGGGAGACATGTAGGACATAATGAGTACGGAACATGGCCCCCAGTAACTAACTCATAATTGAGCGCATCATCAAAGGTTATTTTCCTGGAAGAGCACAGCTCTCAAACGGGTCAGGCTGACTGATAAAAACAAAGAAGGCAGTTACAGGGAGGAATTCAAAAGAAGAATGTGAGATTGCACACGGACCAGAAGCAAATATCAGGTTCCAGCTCAGGAGACCGATGGAACCACCGACATTACATGAATGCATGGAGGCAGTTGTCGCATCTTGTGCAGTCGCAGATAGAGCAATTACGTCGGAAAAACTGGATGTTTACTCCGCACGTGGATGGTTGGCAGCAGTAAGGACGCTAGCCGTCAGGTCAAGGTTCATTTGACGGGTCCCGGCCACACCTTCAATTTGGACGTGGCCAAACATCCTGCAAGGGTTAATTAGCACCTGAAACATGAACTGTTTATGTTGTTGGTCTCCGCCAGCAGTCCAGTAATTAGCATAATAACCATCCGGCCGTATTTTATGTGCAAAACGTTGCCTTGCCACAGCCATTAGTGATGAGGGGAGGATGCTGGCAACATATGGCCCCAGTGACAACTATTCAAATTGCCGAGTAATCATCAAGCCAAGAATCGAGAACGCTGATGAAATTTCGACGATTAATGACTCCGGCGCGAACTAACTAGCAGTCATCGCATATTGTCACCCAACGACTGCGTCTTATAAAAATTGCACTCTCTTGCGCATTCATCACCCCTATTTGCGACCGCCTTTGAGGGCGTTTGCGTGTAGAGGGACGTCGCTTTTTGCACTGTAGAATTCTTGCAGCTTAACATCTTTCAAAAGGCTTTATTCCAACCGCCTTCATGTTGCCGTCTTCATATAAGAATATGGAGGGTATTTTAAATCCCGCACTGGAAGCATATCAGACCCGACCTTAGGCATACCCCTAATCTTAACCCGAAATCTGACCATAAGTTTAATGCTTAAAGTTAGTTACCTGGAATTCAACTTAAACGCATCTTCATTGCTAGTTGTTGTTTTTGACCCTCCTACCAGGACCCACAGAATCTATTCTTACCAAGTTGCGTTGTAAAATGCCGTTAAGGCGGTTCTTTTCTAGGTGACAAGCCAAGTGTTCTTCAATTGCGCCTAGTAACCTCAAGAGTACACCAATATATGTTATATGACATGTGGACAGAAAGGGTCACTCAAGCTGCTGTAAACATGTTGCTATTCATAATCGTTAGGCAACAACATGGAATTTGTTGCCGCGTGAGTAACCTTAGCAGATGTCTCCAAGTCAGCCAGAACGAAAATACCACTACCCTCTCCCGAAAGTTAAGCCACTGCCGAACACAATCCTCCAAATAGAAAACCAGAGAAACATTTAGAATTGCTTTCTTACTATGCATTGGGATATTTTGTAGGAGCAGAGTCTCAGCATACTTTCTGTTGTCTTGATTCACTGAAGGACATGTTAAATAAGTCTGTGAGATCATTTACGTCTCTTTCAATGTCTACCTGGGAAATCTACTGAACCTTAAACGCAAGGACTTAATTTAAATCACAGTATTGTTTCGATTTATTTGGTAACATCAACCCTGATGCAACTAAAGCCATTTGTTTTTTTGTGATTTTAGGTGAGATCGAGGCGCTAGTACAGCTACAAACGCAGTACAAACTGAACACAAATGCAGCCCTCCTCTACTCACCGGCAATTCTCATTCTCCTGCTGGCCTACGTCCTCGGAATCTTCCTCACCTGGCAGGTTGGCGTCCTTATCGGCGTACTGGGTCTGTTAATCCAATTCGTCTTCTTAGGTAGGTACTCCCATCTGTCATGGAAAGTATTTATGGACGACTTGCCGTTTTACCGTGGATTACAGTATCATTAACTGGTCGCCAGGCAGAATGAAGAGTGCTAGAAAGCACTTGTTATTTTATGGTGATATAGTCGTCGAAAAGGATTTCCATGCACATATAGTCCACTCACTACTAATCAATCACTCAGTTATTAATTTCTCATCGTCCTTAGAACAGGCTTTCATTGGCATTAACCAAGTACTCCTTAAGTCCTTTCAGTATAGAAGACTAAACGTTTTCACCAGGATGAGTTCAACTGACACCTTACCTCACTATCGAAACACTATCAAATTAGCACCTCTTAATAGCGATGAATTGGGGCATTATTCGGTGGATTCACAGTGTCCATTCTGCACGTTTGGGTGCCGTTATAACCGAAGACGTCCTTTAGGATGTCAAAAATACCTTAGAGTTAATACAGTCGACCGCCAAATCGGCTATCCAAGCCATAGATAGTCCTTGAATGTTGTTGTCGGCACAGTGGGTACTTTTGGAAAGTTGTTTCAAGATTTAACCACTTAGGTCGACTTCGCAGGCATAAGCATAATCCCTTATCAAAAAAGTAAATATTCTTCCATAATGAGGGCCGGTAAGAAATGTACTTTGTAGCAAGCAGAAAACATTTTCTAATAATTTTTCTACTTAAAAACGGCTTGATTTTGGCATTTTCCTGGTGCAGTTCAAATTCCTATACATGCGAACCGTTCTGCTTCTCTCGGCTTCCTTTTACGCCCAGTTCTGTCATTAATAGTGCACTACGAAGTGAGCTTACTTATTTCAAAAATACTTGCTAATGACTCATGCGACACTCCTTCTTATGCAAGTATCCGTATTCAGTCATAGTCAACTGCAAATAGAAATTGTTTGGACAGCGTTCGCGTACAGTGCGACAGAGAAAATTGACGGCATGTCCTGAGTGTTCTTTTTATCTTATTATCGGTGCGTTGAAACGATCTAAAGCCGAATAAATTGAACACTATGCTTTGTGGCACAATACGTATCATAGCCTCTGAACTGAATTCGCCCTTATTTTTTGAAAACAATTCCATTTCTTAAGCCCATATTCAGTGGATATTAATGAACACTAAAAAAATATTCTGTACTCTGCAGACATATATTAAAACTTTTCCGCCATCAATTAATGTTAGTCTACGGTAAAACAGACATAAATAAATGTGTGTTAAATCCCCCTCTCAAATTGCGCTCATGACATTTCTGTCTGTCATAATTTCTAACATATTGTACGCACTCTGGAAACAAAACTTGCAGTATGTATACATTCCCTGCAATAAGACCAATATATTTATTTACGGTGTTAAAAGTGTATTACCTAGGGTTCATAAATTTTGGAATGGATATGATCCATGTAGTATACATTTAGAAACTTGCAGATAAGAGGTTGTGTGAGTAGACATTCCACACTCCTACCAAACCTCATGATAGCAAAAGATTTTTTACTGAAAGATGCTTTACTTCAAGTAACACACTGAAAAAAGATGTGATTGGCTGACAACTTAGTATTATAAAATATGTATTGGTACATTATTTCGATAGGGCATAGTTGAATTTAAGAAAATATAAACATTTTCAGGGTACCCTTCATATTTTTTAAAGAGTCAGTTTATACCGAGTTTGATCTTTTTAGTCAACTGAAATAGAACTTATTTGAAAGGCATCATCCTTTTGTGATTGAAATAATTGGTGGATTATGCTAAATCTGTATTATACCGCTGTCCAAGAAATCCTCTCTAAACTGAAACAACCTTGCAGACTTTTAATTAACAAGGCGTGATAAATTTTACCTTATCTTACTTTATAAAACTGAGTACACTTTGTCCTAATATTCACGATATAGCTTATAGAATGGGTTAGTTGCATTTTTTTGAAAATTGCCCAGTTTGACATTTTCTGGTCGTTATTTGTAGTTTCTGAAATTCTACCAGCTTTTACGATTCTCTATCGCTTTTCTTCATTTCTCTCTATGTATTCTGAGCTATTGAACTGTAGTTATCTACAAAAGACGACTTTTTATCATTAAGCGAACCGCAAAAGGTATTATCAGAGCATAAAACAAAAAATGTCAGGCCTTGCCATTATTCTAATTATCACTTGGATTCACCATGCAGGCAAAATTGACTTCATTCTGTTTCAGTTTTTTATCACTCTGTTGCACCTTCTTACCTTCGAACTGAGACATGTTGAACTTTTTAAACGGCAAAACTTAGCACAGGTAGCTAACCTTAACGGAACAATTTTCAAAATAAGCAACTCATCCGCTTCTCCAGGCACAAAGACAACTCGTTTGATCTATCCCGCAGTTTAGAGGGGACGTTTTATTTCGCCGGGCTAACATCCTTAACCCTGGAAATTTTATCAAATTACCTTTATGGCCCTTGTAAAGCCTTCTTTGCAAGGTTCATTGGAACAATGGACTAGGGAGGATTGCATTTGAAGGGACCAATGAACAAAGATAAGTCAGAGTCTCGGTTAGGTACAAATAACTGCGGAATACTACTGAACTATTAATTGTCATTCCAGTGTAAATAATCGTTTTCAGTAGCACTTACTAGTTCAGATTACGAACTCTAAGGGAGATGCCAAATGTTTTCAGTATACCGGCGGAACAAAATCGGTTGGCCCTATCCGCAAAGGCATCAACCCAGGATGGTCACATCCTGAGAAATAGATCGGTGTACAAACCAATAAGAGATGCCAAATGTCATGTTCGTAAACAGTTGACACAGATTGGCAAACGACACGATCGTGTGATTTTCAAGTCTATGCTTCTGTGAGTACGCAGGGATCTGCAAAATCCGTTGTCAAGTGATTCTATCAGCATTTGGATGGGAATAGCAGTTGGTCCCCGGTAAAATACGTCTCTGCCTCAGCCGTCAAGTACACAACTACCTGAAAATCGTCTGTTGTCGTACACTGACTGGAATCTATGCTGTCATCTTTGCCCCGGTTTGCGCATTTATCAATGATTTAAAATAAATATAAGCGATACTTTATTTGAGTTATCGTTAGGATTAAATAAGGCGCATGCCCTAAAAGTAAAGAAAGTCTCCTAGAAGGAATTCTACGGTAAAAAGTCTTCAGATAGTCCTCTTACTACATGAAAATCACACTTGAAGAGGAAATATTTTATTGGGAATCTTTATTTCTCCGCTAAACTCAAAAAGGAAATATATGTGAAGTGGATCTGACAAAGCAAAGGGAGAACGAAATGGCCATTTCTGGCTTATTAGCCGTCAT